GCCGCAGACGGAAATGTTCGTACTATTGAGCGGAAATCACTGAGGAATACGTCGCCTTTAAGACCTAGGCTTGACAGTAGTCAATCAGTTGTTGTAAGCATATGTATTTTTAAAGTTTGGATGAGGTTGAGGCTTCTTTTGGCAATTTTGAGAATTGTGCGAGTATGAGGTGGTGTGACAATGAATGCAAACATTTGGTGATGATTGCCATGTGAGGACAATATTTTTGCAAGGATTTTTATGCAAACTGGAATAAAATGATTTGGGTTAGGTTTAACAATAACATCCCATTTTTGGTAAGTAAACCAGTATCACCTATTACTATAGTGACAGGAGAGATTTCAACAATAGACTCAACATGAGGGGAGAGACAGGAGTGAATGGATTTTTCAATGATGGATGGTTCAGTAATGGGGAGACCATGGAGGTGGATTACAAGAATGGATCAGAAAACTCCTTTAGGGAGGGAGAGATGGTAGGTTTTTTCATTGATGATAAAAGAAGGTTTGTTGAGATATTTCTGATAGGCTTCTTCATTCTTGAAGGTAAGTTCTAAGAATCAATTGATTGGGTCAAAATCTAAGCCTAAGAGATTGGATCGGAAGTGCGAGAGAATAGCTTTGTCAGAGATGAATGGATTGCTTTGCTGATCAAAAAAGAGACTATTAGGTGAGGAGGAAGGAGGAGGAGTACGGCCAATGAATAGTTTTTGTTTGGGATTAGATTTAACGTTTTTCCAGGAGAAGATTGAGAAGGCACCATCTGGGTTGACAAGAGGATGGTTAGAAGGTATTTCTTTGAAATAGTTAGTAGGCATTTTGCCTCTTTCAGCAGCTGTAGTAGCTTTCAGAAGTAGGGCTGCAATGGAAGCAAAGGTGGTGAGCTCAGTAGAGGAACTTGAGGTAACTTCAGACATTTTTGTTGTATAGTTGTGTGTTGTGTATGAATAAGAGTGGTATTACTAAATCAATGCTTTTTGTGAAACTGAACTAAAATTAGTGTCAATCATGACTGCAGAGGAAGATTTTACCATGTGACTCACTTATCTGATTCATCAGATCGGCTCATTGTAACAGGTAATTTAACTGAAAATAAACCTGCTTTCTGGGTTTCAGTACACATTTGTTTTATTCAAAAAAAAAACTCATTCCTTCAATAGTTATGAATATAAGGGAAGGGAACCATTTCTTTTTCTTTATTTATCAAAAGAAAACAATTCATGAAGATAAGCATTTAGGGTGAAATGCAAGCATTTATATAAGAATAAATTTGTATTTTAAGTCAAAATATCAATTCTTGATCGACAATAGCATGTAATGGTAAGATAGTGTGACTTAATAATAAGATTAGTGCATTAGTCAATATAACAATCACTATTGTGTCTGGGTTTGGGTCCTGTCTCAGTTCAGAACCCAGACACTCAGTCTGGAACCTAATTGTCTCAGTCCAGAACTGAGACAGTTCCCCAACTGAGGTACAACATTTTAGCAAACACCATTTTTGTTTATAGATTTTATCACATTGCTCTTTTTTTTTAACAATTGTAGAAAAAGAGGAGTGATAGTAATAAGTAATAGACATGAGATGAAATTTTTCTCATTTTTAGACAAACATGCAAACAAAAATGAAGTTTTCTTTATAATAAAGAGAAGTCTGTCACTTCCTACAAATAATGAGGTGGTTTTTTTTTATCTAGCTAGTATGTAACCTGTCACTTCATTGATGGGGTAGTAATTATATAATAAAGGGTATAAATGTAAAGTATAAATAGCAAAAAAAAGGTAGTTAGTAGAGTATAATAGAAATCTAAGAAAGGATGGATAAGCTATAATAAAGTGTAATAGTAATAAAAAGAGATCAAAGATTTCTGAGAACAACCTGTAGAAAAAGATGAAAAAAGCATTAATAAAAAATAAATAACAGAAATAGAAAAGAGAAAAAAATGGTTAGATAGGTTAGAATATCTAAATTGTTACTGTGATATAGCTATTCTAAATCTAAATGATCATAGCTATAAAATATTGATTTACATCACTAAATTTACGTCAGATATTTACTGTAGAGCACTGAATATAGTACCCCGGGTACATATCTAGAACACCTCAAGTTTTTGAATTGTACCCAGGGGGATGTACCCGGGGTACTATGTACGGAGGAGGGTACTATTTTAGGGGGGTACTTTGAAATTCCTCGCATTGTACTATTACCATAGTATATGTAACACGTGACGTACGATAAACTATTTGTACCCGGGTACATTTCAAAAACTTTACCAAAAATTCCTGAATTGTACCCGGGTCCTAATTTAGGGGGATACTATTTAAGGGGGGTACTATATTCAGTGCTCTACGGTACATGATCATCTGACGTACTAATAATATTAATATTAATTGTAATTGCTATGTAAATGCTATTATTATTATTAAATTCGTTGTTTAACACTATCAGCTTCACCTGGATATTTATTCATGGTGGTTGAATTAATTGTATTTTTTGGAGCAAGAATTCCAATTGCATTAAATAACTTGAATCACCAGCATGGATAGATACAGTATATTTGGATAAACAAATCTATTAGTATTAATTTGTGAAGTGAGACAAATATTATCTGCAAGTTTAATATAGTTGCCTCTTACTCTCTCAACAATCCATTCAGCAAAATTTTGGCATTCAATAGTCTCCTCAGCACTTTCAGCTTGTAGTAAATGCATGTTGACAGTTAATTTTATAACTTTTACATGATGCCACAGGGGAGAGTGTAATAAACAGGAGCTGATTATATCTTCTCTTCTTCCTTTAGGGCTACTGGCAAATTTTGATAAAAATCGCCTCCAGATACAATAACTTTCCACCAAATTACAAATGCTGGTTTTGCAAGTCAGGATCTACTGCTTTCATTAAATCTCTGAGAGTTCAGTCAACAGCTTCTGGTGCAAAACGATGTGCCACAGGAGCTTCATCCCAAACAATAAGACTTGCTTGCTGCAAAAGAACTGCATGATCTGTACCATGTGATATATTACATATTGAATCCTCATGTAATTCAAATGGAATTCGAAAAGGGAGTGTGTAGTAAAAGAGCTGCAATACCTGAGGTAGCTACTGCAAGTACTATATGTCCAGTAGATGAATATATTAACATAGACTCTACATTACAGATTGAGGATAGATTGAATGATGATGAGATAATTGCTTTGGTAAATGGTGAAGAAGCTGTGGAGGAATGCAGCAATTCGCAAATCGAACGTAAAATAGAGGCTACAGATGCCGTGAAATCAATTGATATGTTAATAACTTTCCTAGGACATTGGTCTTAGCGAGAATTTTATGAGTTAAATCAATGTAAAAAAAAATTCCAACGTCAATCTCAAATAAGCAGTTATTTCACAAGCTGTTAGTGTAGTAAGCTTATGTTATAAGCGAATAAAGAGTATTGTTTACGATATATATTATCTGGCAGCTTGAGCACTTACCCCGTTTATCCGAACGTATGGTTTCCCTGAATATACACTTCGGTTATAGAGCAACCCCGCTAATCCGAAGAAAAATTGCTCTTCAGTTGACCTTGTATAAAGTTGTCGTTCTAATAATAGTTCTATTCTTGTGCGTCGTTGTTGCTGTACGGAAGTGTCTATTGCCATTAGGCCAGCTTACGGAAGTTGTATTAATATCTAACTGTAGTTAAGCGGATGCTGGAGTATCAGGAAGAATAGTTCGATTATCGGTGTGTCGGATCAGCCACACGTGGGAGAGTGCGCGACCTTGAGAACTTAATATTATTAATATGTAGTAGGGACTTGTCTCAGTTCTGAACCGAGACAACTGGGTTCTGGACTGAGTGACTGGGTTCACAGATCCCAAGAAACCTGTACAATGTTTTGATATTAAACCAAGTTTCATGGCAAGTATTTGATGAAAATTTAGTTTCTACTGTAATTGACCCGTTAGACTGTTTCAAGCAGTGACTAATAAAGGAAAATCTGTTAACGCTAGACCAATATACTATACAGCATATAATAAAATCAATTGACTTATCAAGTAGCTCAGAAATTATTTACAGAGCCTTCCCCTGTGCTATGGGTTTTACATGGTTGCGCTCCTACTGATAATGTTTCTAGATTGAATTCTCGATTGACATAACGCTTAACAAGTATTTTGAGCGCTTGCTTATCGTATCGTCAGCACCGATTAGTACAATTTACTTAACGGCTGAAATTTATACTCGACGTATACGTGTTTTGTTTATTATTAATTCTTGATCTATGTAGCCCGTGACATCCGGATAAGTGATTGTTCGAACATAAGATTATGAGGTTCTAGACAAATGGTGACGGCACACTTTTTGAGGTACTGTGGGTCCTTGGTTTTTGCGTGCGAAGAGAATCAGTTCGCGGCTTCACAATATGATAGGGTTAATCTAAACAACTGTACGGGACACAAATAGTCACGGTAGTAATGTATTTACCTTTACTCCGCCTACTTTAACATAACGTCTGTGATGAGGCAAAATAATAAATTAGTAAACCCCAATTTTTCTACATTTGCGCATAAATGGGGCCTTGCCAAAGAGCTTGTTTTTCAAAAAGATGGTTAATTACGCCAGGAAAAAAATCCGCAACAACGACAAGTAAAAGAAGAGTAAAAGGCACTTCTGTAAAAATTGAGTTTTGGAAGGGTTGGAAAACGTGCTGTTTACACATAATTCTGTCTGTGAATACTTTTTTTTAAATTGATCTTTTGTGCTTGTAAAAATTATTTAAATCACCATCTTAAATCATGCCTTGTAGAATTTAGGAAGTACAGTCCAAATTTAAAAATTTAACATTATTACCAATTATGATGTAGGCAAATAAGCAAACACTTAGTTAAACTGTGCCCATTTAAAATTAAGAATTATTGAAAAGCTTGTACAGAGCTACAGTAGCAGCGGTGTTTCCTTGCGGTTGGCGAATTTACAAGTACATAGTCAACCTCGTTAATCCGAACCTCGTTAATCCGAATTCCTCGTTAATCCGAAGAAATATTCTGGTCCCGAT